CGGGAGTGCTAGGATTACAGCAGTGAGCCACTGTGCCTGGCCTGTTATTTGGATTCTTGTCAACAGAGGTTATTCTATAATTTTAAAGGATGTGTTAAAATTCATAACACATTCACTTGCCAAGAAATAGGGATTTAGTCAAGCCTGGAACAAGAATTTATGAAAAAGTCATCAAGACATCTAGATTTATCAAAAGTTATGAACATCCTGTTTGTAGGATGACTTGGTCAGCAACATACCTGGTACAAAGGGGCAGATTCCTTCAAGCCTTGAGAATAAGATTAAGCTCAAGCCATTGAGTGAGGAGGCAGAATACTAGTGTCAGTAAAAGCATGGGCTTTGAATCTGATCAATTCTGGAGCTCTGGACCTACCCCTGGTTGCTTTGTGATTTTGTTCAAGTGACTCAGCCTCTCTGGTCACCTGTGTGCTCCCCTGCAGAGTGAGTCCCTGCCTCTTTGGGTTATGTGACTGGAGGACACAATGCTCCCTTATAACTAAGCACAGTGCCTGACGTGCAGTTGCTCAGGGCACCCAACTTATCATTATTTGTCTGGGACAAGTGAGGTTGGGATGTAGTGGTTGGAGTCTTTTCTCTTCTTTTGAGATGACTGTCACCTCTCAGTAGCTGACAGGGAAGTTTTGGCCTCTACTAAGAGAGAAAATATCCGCTCCTGGCAAATTAATAGTTTGTTGGATCCTAAAGGTAGATCTTTATTTTTTATTTTTTTTGGGCAGAGTCTCTCTTTGTCACCCTCAGTAAAGTGCTGTGGCATCACAGCTCACAGCAACCTCCAACTCCTGGGACCAAGCAATTCTCCTGCCTCAGCCTCCCAAGTAGCTGAGACTACAGACACCCACCACAACACCTGGCCATTTTTTGATTGTAGTTGTCATTGTTGTTTGGCAGGCCCAGATTGGGTTTGAACCCACCAGGTCTGGTGTATGTGACTGGTGCCCTAGCTGCTAAGCTACAGGTGCTGAGCCCTGAAGGTAGATCTTAAAGGCACATTAAATCATCTGCTCCAACTCCCATGTTGCACAGAGAAATAAGCTGAATCCCTGGGTGGCAGAATGATTTGTGATTAGAAATGGTGCTTAGAGGATGGTGGTCATGGAAGTCGGAATCTGCTAAGGACTGTGTAACAACTCACCTACTGAATCAACTAGTCCTAAATAGAAAGAAAGAAAGAAAGAAAAGAAAGAAAAGAAAAGAAAGAAAGAAAGAAAAAAAGAAAGAAAGAAAGTGTGTTTATGTTCCCAAGTCCAGGCCACCAAGGCCTATTCAATCATGAAGTGAACCCAGAGGTGGCTGGGGGGTCCTGCCCAGAGACATCCCTCCAAGGCTACAGTGAAGCAACAGGGGACTCTAGGAGCCAACCAGGAGGTCAGGAGCTGTGAATCCTATACCCAAACTATGTTATCAGAATCTCTAGATATGGGACCTGAGAATCTATATTTCACAGAGAGTCACACTTAAATTCAAGTACCACTCGTGTAGTAAACAATTACCTTGAGTTCCAGTATAAAATGTGTTCACACCCAGCGCCCCCTGGTAAGGATTTCAAACAAGACCATACGTGGAGGGCTGTTGAACTATCTAATAATTTCAGCTATTTTTTTCTATTAGTTTCTGCCTCAAATTTCCATTGAGTTGTCTGTCTGACAGGATAGGCCCAGTTCTGTGGCTCCTGTGAGATTTGGTAAATCAGTGTAACTCCCCTCTCTGCTCTTAAAAAAGGCCCAGAAAGTGAATCAGGAGGGCGGACTAGAGGTGCCTCAACAGCTGTTTGTGGGGAGCCAGGGGAGCCAGGACTCCAGCCACCTCTGGCCGGGGGGTTCTGCCCAGAAACATCCCTCCAGGGGTGCAGTGAAGGAATAAGGGACGCTAGGAGCCAACCAGGAGGTCAGGAGCTGTGGCAGAAGGACACTTCAACACCTAAACACAGAGACAAGGTAATTAAAAGTGAAGAAGGAAGTGAGAGGAAACAGTAGGGGAAGGAAGTGAACAAGAAGAAAGCTGAGATGAGGAGGAACCCACAGAAAACTGTGGCAAAATGAAAAACCAGAACAGAGCAACCCCCACCCCCGGCCAAGGGGTCACGAGCTAGCTACGCAGAGGATTCCACCTATAAAGAATCAAAGGTGATGACAGAAAGGGTACTTAAAATGTGGATGGCCAAACAATGAAGGGAACTGAAGAGAAAAGGGGAAAATAATCAAAAGGAAATCCAAAACAGACCCAAAAAGCGAATTAAGGTCTGCTTAGGCTCGGCGCCT